GGCCAAGTGTCATAGATTGGTTCCCTGGAAACAGACTCTGAGAGAGACCTGTATGCAAGGGTTTGTTGAGGAGTGCTCTTGGGAGGACTCACACCTGGCAGGGAGCATGTGAGGCAGAACTTGGCAATGGGAGAAGCTGAGCTGCCATGCAGTTGCAACTGCGGTCTCAGCTGACCCTAAAGAAGCCCTTCCAAGTCATCCCAAAAGGAGGCAAAGAGGCTGGGCCTTCCTATCCCTGCTTGCCAGTCATTTACTATGGGCTACTCCCTGTGAAGGGGTGTCATCTTGAGTGAATCTGTTTCTGCAGCTGAGTTTTTGCAAGCAAGGTAGCTGTGAGTCGGTATTCACAGATGCTGGGGAATAGGTGTGACTTTTCTGCAAGTGGGATTTAGCAGAACTGCCACACTTCACTACAGGGTACCTGTACCAATCAGCCCCTGAGTCCTTTTGACATGATCCTAGTCATTTGGAGAACTTCCTCACCATCTGGTGTGACAGGAAATTTCAGGCTGAATTTATACATTTCCTGGCCCACACCTGGACATTTTTCAAGCTGGTTCTCCAAGAAGCCCTGGTTTCTTTGGGTGGAAAATCATATTTCAAACCACAATTTGGGCATTAGAAACTCACATTGGTACGCTTCACTACTCCTTATGACTTGAAACCCCCAGCGTTTTTTGTTGGGCTTTGTGTCCTTGTCCTTTGAAGGCCAGTATTTTTACTAGAACGCACTGCCTGCCTCTCAACCTCCTCCTCTCCCTGTGTTACCTAGCTCTTTCAGAGGGCGGTTCTACCCAGCCGCCAAGCCCCTCACCAGAGGGTCATCCTAATGACCACTTCTGCCCTCCCACCTGAGCTCCACATCTTTACGGCCACAGCCCAGTGCCCCATTCACAAAAAGTACTCCATAAATATTGGCCGGAGAGGATAAAAATGGCTACCATTCAGTTGGAGGTTGCTGTTCGGGTTTCTGAGAGGCCAGGCCTGACTTTTCTTGGAGCCAGAGGCTAATTCTCAATATCTAAGCTGCTTGAACTCAAATCCTTTCCCCCACCACAAAAAGCACGTTCAAGTATCAGCACACCAAAGTGCACCCAGGCTAGCACCATGAACTTCCCAAAGCTTGGGACTTCTCCTACAGCAGGGGCTGTAACACCTGCTTCCCAGGTGGGATTTTCCCTCCTGGACAAGTCAACCTGGAAAGTAAAAGGGGGACAGAGCAATGAGCTGACAGGGCCCTGAGAGAAAGGAGTAAGGTGACAGAGGAGATGTGAGTATTCACTTTTCCATTCATTCACTCATTCACCAAATATTTCCTGAAATCATGCTCTATCCCAAACCTGGAGTTGGAGGGGGGAAGGTAGAGAATGATGACACAGAGTTTCTTAACCTTGAGTACAAAATGTCACCCAGTGGAAACAAGAGACAGGAACCGGCCCAGGACCAACAGAGTCAGGGGGGCCCAGAGAAAGCACATTGCACAGGCCAGGGTAGTCCACAGGAGATGCTCTGGGGAGGACTCAATGCTGATACTGAGTCTTGGTCAGTGAGGAGGAAGAGAAAGGGAAATGAGAAGCCATACTGACATTCTCAGCAAGAGAACATCACAGAAAAGAACAAGGTAGCTTGTTCTGAAAGAAAGCTGCACGTGAGAGTGGTATGTAGCCAAACTCCGGCCTCCAAGTCTGCCCAACTGTGCATTTCTGTAAAAGGACGGTACTAGACTTTACTAGGATTAACTATAACCAGCTGGGGCGTGAAAAGCAGAGTGTCCCGCCCCAGCCTCCCTCAGGCAGCACGTGGGACTATCACACATGGCTCTCTGAGGTCCACTGATATCTGGAAGCCTGAACACTGACCAAGGAAGGATGGGTGGGCAGGAGGCAGAGGCTGGGGGAAGATCAGCAACCAGTCCAGGTGACTATGGGACACTAGGTCTACTGATAGGGAGAAAGATGCAACACACACACACACACACACACACACACACACACAGCCAGGCCCTTCCTCCTACCCTCCACACACACACACACACACACACACACACACACACACACACACACAC